TTTATGTCTATGTACTTGATTTCTATACTTCACTTTTATAAGCAAATTTCCGAACTTTAAGGTTTGACATGTCATATTTAGTATTTGGCATGTATAGAGGCCGTGGGCACTTGTAGCTAACTTAAATATGCATATTATGTTTGCGTGCATGTTCACCTTTGCACACAACACCTTATTTGTTTGAAATGTACACCTATGGGGCATGCATTTTCATTTTTGTTGCAAATCTAATCTAAGGGGCTTTTTGGGTATTTCTTTCGAAAGATAAGTTTTGGTCTTGACATGGTTACTTAGAAAATGTGATTCTAGGGAGGGAGGGGATTCTTCACAACAATTTTCAACAAAATGTCATCTTGGTCTCAAAAACCCCATGATAAATCCGATTTTCTGGTTTAGCCTTTTTTTTTTTTTTAAAGTTTGGACATGAGCACTATTCATCGACTTTTTTTTGAAAAGCGTGTTGACCATTCCGAAACTTTCGAGGGTCTTGTAGGTGTATTTTAAGGTTATATTTTCAATGTAGGCAATTTAAATACCTCCCGAACCTTCATTTTCCCTTACTTGGCAACAACTTTGCATTTTGGCGGGCGCCCGCAGGATTTGGCATTCGCTCGCAATATAAAAGTTGGCGAGCGCCCGTAGCACCTTGTGTCCGCCTGCAGCCTTTGAGCCTTGTATCTTGGCAGCCTTGTCATCCGGTTTTGTTTTGGCCATAACTTCTTCGTCCGGACTCCGAATTAAGTGATTCTTGAGTCAAAATTTATTAATTTTTGGTTGTCTATCCAATGGTATGCATAATAGCATCCATTCTAGTTTGAAATGACCATTTTACCCTTGGTTCATTTCTTGGAGGGTTTTAAAACCCTAACTTCTGCCTTGCTTCCGCTGAGTCACAGGACTCCTCGGGAAGCCACTTTTGTGTCTTAGGGATGATGTACATCTCTAGAGACTTGTTTATGTTTCGCTTCCATATTTCGGATCCGATATTGGATCAACTTTCGAGTTATCACAGGACGCACTGGCTTGTAAAATTAGGGCTGTCATAGATATAAACATAAAACACCCTCTACCTCACTAGAGAATTGAGTCTCTAGAATATAAGGAAAATGAGAGCAAGAATGGAATCCTAGAACAAGGTGTTGTAGAGGAAGATGAGGGGAAGCTTTTGTCTTCCAAAAGCTAGGCCAAAAGGATAGTGGCAAATGGGTTGAAAATAAGGTATAAGGCTAGGGTTTTCTAGCTTCAATGGTGGTTTAGGTTAGAGGAAATGAAGAAGACAAGCCAATCACTAGTTGCTCCACTAACTAAATGAAATGTAACACACTTAAACCAAACTAACTCTACCTCTCTCACACACACACTCTTCAATCTCACCCCTCCACTTGTCACTATTCAATGCACCCTCATAAGATTCAATCACCACCCTGCACTTGTAATTATCTAAGCCTTCCAAGTGTCTCCAACCAAAAGTCAATAAATGGTCCAAGGAAAAGGTGACAGTTGTCACACTTTTCAAAAATTATAAAAAGGTCCCTCGTCTAAATATCTCACAAAAATAATTGCAAAAAGGTCCCTAAGCTAAAATATCTCGAAAAGTTAATCGCACAAAGAACCCCAAAAAATGAAAATGTTTCCAAAAAAACTATGCAATCATACCCCCAAGAAAATAAAATTAAACTACCATACTTCTCTACATAATTAAACTATGCATTAACAACAAAATAAATTAAGGTAAATGCATGAGATCTTGGAAACTAAGTCCGGACACCAAACCCTACCTCGGGTTCTACAAAACCCTAAGGTAACACGAAAAAGAAATAAACAATTAAATAAATAATAATAATAAATAAAAAAATATCCCCAAAAAAAAGGAAAAGATGACACGGTCATCACATCAGCTCACGCTAAATTGTTATATAAACTGAAAATTAAAAGAAATCAACAGTGATAATTGATCCCTAGACCCCAGAGAGCGAGGGGGTAGCGAATGACCTTTGAGAGGCTTATTTACTGCTCTACGCAATCGCCTTGAGGTCAAATAACAGAACGCGCAGCACATTCACTCCAAGAGCAAACTGTAACCAGTTGACCGATCCTCTCCTTTCATCCGAAGTTGGTCGAGGTTGTCGCCTTAGGAATATTTGCTTGAGCCTAAATCACCACCTTCCCGACAAATACGGGGAAAAGGCCGTTAGGTGTACCGTAGGGTGGATCGCCCCAAACCAACTATCCTAGCACACCCTTACACCATCGCCCATCACGCCGTCGCCTAAGCGTGGTGCCGATAGCCCTTTTGGCACTCCCGGTGGAACTAAATTAAAACTTACTATATATTAATTTTAGAGGGGCATAGCAACTAAGCTAGTTCCCTTTAGAAACAAAACGATATAAATATATATTGAGCCTTTCCGCTTTGTACTTATATATATATATATATATAGTCTAGAGGGACAATTGTAATACCCTAATTTCTGGAGATTTATTTAAATGTTTTAATTGGATTTTATTTAATTATGTGGCTATTTGGTTATTTGCATGTATATTGAATTCGTGTTTATTTGATTATTTGTTTTTATTTAATTATTTTATTTGTGTTAATTTAAATTAATTGATTTGGCTAATTGTGTATGTGCATTCTTTTAATTGATTTCATGTGTAATGTGTTTATGTAATTAAATAGCTTTATAATGCTTAATTGTTTAGTTAAATGATTTGTTTATTTTATTTTAAAAGATTATAAATTTGGGTTGTACTCCTTAGACCAACTAGATGGGTCTTGAACTATTTGAAAAGGATCCTATATGGGTTAGATGAATTTTTCCATATAACCAGTTTGATGCATCTATCTACCCATCTAACCGATTAGATGCATCAATCTACTCGGTTAGATGGATTCTCAGTTTTTGCATGTTCTATAGACTAGCCATTTAACTGGTTAGATGAAATCATGCAACCGGTTAGATGAGCTAGTATTTACTGTTTGACCCCATATTTCATTATAATTACCTAATTAGCCCCAGACTTCAACCAAAACATAAAATAACCATAAAAAATGACAATTTTACCCCGATGAGTTTATAAGCTATATTAAATATACTAAATGACTATTATACCCCTATGGACTCTAGAATTATTATATTGACGTGAAATGACTGTAGTACCCTTATGTTACCTCAGGTTCGGGTAAGAATCCGGTTAGCGATCCGGATCCCTAGGTTTGAATCGTTACAACAATTGAATTATAAAAGGAAAGATATAAATTTATTATTAAAATATAATATACTGAAACACAATAATGTACTGAAACTCTTTCTACTTTTAATAATAGTATAGATATAAAAATGATGTGATAGTTATTTGGTTTTTTCTTAAATAAATAAATAAATTCAATCAAACACACACTCAAATCTCCCCATTTGGAGAGGAGAGCTTATATGGTGCCCAATGGTGTGATCTTCTATTCTTGCTACATATTAATGTGAAGGAATCTTCGGATCTGTAATGCCATTATTATATATATGCGTGTGTATGTGTGTGTGTGTGTAGACATATATGTACATGAGCCTCCTAAGATGTTAGAGGCAATGACCTGGAACTATTGCCAAGCTTGGCCACATTAAGAAGCAACAGATTCTTCTCCAGCAATGCGTGCGATTCCGTCACATTGCAAAGGGAAATTTAAATTGCTATCAGAAAAGTTCTCTCGTAAGTGATATCAGTAAAACATATTCAAAATTTCGGAAAACTGCATGCAGAAACTTTAGCGGGAAATGAAAATTTTCTACTTTTCTATCTGATGGAGAATGCAGAAGAACCTGAAATTTTGTGGTAACAAAAGATGAAGAAATCGATAATCTAAGGTGACTTCCTCGAGTATGATTGCAATGTTTTACCAAATACCTTTTGTGACCCAGAACATCTTTTTGAGCGAACTATTTTTGCAGAGCAGAATATCCAGGAAAATGATTCACCAAATTAAATAAACAAAAAAGATGATCAGGAGAAGATAAAAACTACCTGTTCATTTGAAAATTTTGCAACCCAACCGGTAATGTTCAAATGGACGCAAACACAATCGGGTAAGCATTTTGATTTCTTTCATCATCAGTGCATATAGCAATATTAGCACTACTCTTACTCGAATAGACAAGTTCAATAGAAAATAATATTAAGCACCAATAAATATGCAGAACTAAGGAAATTTTGAAACAAGAAAGAAATCAAGAATCCAGCAATAGCAAGAAGTTCATCAATCTATAATGTTATACCTCCAGAGTCCAGACCGCGACAGAATCAACCAACTTTTAATAATATCACAGTTTTTTAAGCAACAAAATAATTTAAAACTCATTGTCAGACCTACAAATTTAGAGATCATCAATAAAAGAAGGGAACCCCATTCATAAATCAATAAACCTAGAAGAAATGTTTCTTTTAACATTAATGTAGTATCGATAATCATTTTTATATGTCAGTCAATGAATTGTGGCCTCTTTAGTTCTACATTTAGTAAACTTACTGGAAAAAGAATGTCTGATGCAGGCTAAAATCATTTGAGACAGATCACTATCCAAGTTTAAATACATACCACACTATCAAGATACAGTACCAAATTCAAGTTAAATCCAATGAACATATTCCATATAAGATGAACAAAGTCTAGTCTAATACTATCATATGAAATTGGTTTAAATTGGATCTCACATTAAACACATTCTATACCAACAGTCAGGTATATTAATATTCAACCTAATTCCATCGCTGATCTTCTAAAAAGATTCATGTCTGATCCATTACGTATTGCGAACTTTCAAATTCTAGTCCAACACTTGATAAATTAGAAACTGGATTATAACCTAGGAAAACAAATCTCAATCCAAAATTACGAAGAAAAAACTGCTTATGCGTTATTTTTCCCTTTTAAGCACAAGAAATATACAAAATCACCATAGTTAAATGATACATTTTGCAACTACCTGAGTTTGGTTATTTGGGAAACACTAGGCAAATATATCAAACAAAACGGAACAAAAGCAGGGTGCTTCATATTGACATCACCTTTGGACGAATAGTCGGATTGGAACCATAACATAGTTTTCAGAAACTCTGAAAAGAGAAAATTAAAATAAATTCTTAGATAGAATTTCCTCTTTTTCAGTACAGCTTAAAAAAAGAGTCAATCTTTGGTGTAACTAATTTTTTATTTATTTATTTATTTTTTTTATTTTTATTTTTTTTGGAGAACAGAATATTGTTCTTAAAAAAAACACTAAACATACACCTTCATAGTTTCTAAATTATAACATGCAAAAGATATTAAAGACTCCAGACATAAATAAGGTCGCATGTCCGTAACAGTATGACAATCTTAATTCATCAAAGCTCCTGTTCATGTACGTCAACAAACCGATACACATCTCCCCGCCTCTGTTTTTCTAGCGGGAGGCCCTCCCTGCATATTCACAAAACTTTGTTGTGGGGAGAGGCAAAACTTTTACTATAAATCCAAATCGATTTCATAAACAACACATCACCTTCGATGTTGAATTTCGTAATAATCAATCTCAGCAACCACTATTTTCTCCTCATGCCCCGAGGTTGCAATTATTTCACCAAACTGTCAACATAGAGAAAGCCATTTTCATCGTTAGAACCTTCTCTTTACATGATTTTATTCCAAAAGAAGGGCTAGCATATCAGTTTCGGGATTTCTAGTACCGGTCCAACAAGAGTTGAATGACCCCATATCGTATAGGAACCAGTGGAATCTCGAGATGGTGAGCATGTAGCTACATATAACTACAACAAGAAACCAACAAAACACATTGATTTTGTTTTTGACAAGTGAATATCATTAAGAATACAATGGGAAAAGGTATAAGTACCTGGTTGTCAGCTGCCCTGAATTTTTGTAGTACAAAAGAATCAGCGATTTTTACTCGAATAATGGATTAAAATGTAGAACTAATACAGCTTTAAATTCATCCAATATGCAAAGATAGAAGGATGAATTATTTTCACTGGTGTTGGTACACATTCATGCTGTCTTTGGAAAACACCATCATTTCTAATTGTCTACCCCAAGTAGAAGAAGAGGAAGAAGAAGAATAAAATAAAGGTAATGTACATCTACTCTTTGGAATTTGGATGGGATGATGAAAGTGACAACAGCAAAATAAGCCATTAACTTCACTCATATAGCATGAGTTATATTCTATTAAAATAAACCATAAATATTGATAATAAAGTCCCATTGTAAAGCATTATCCACGGATTGCTGCTTAGGGTAACAGTAGTTTTCATAAAATAGCACTTCTGAGTTCTGAGCCACTATAATATCATCTGCAAGTACACAATTCTGTGATTTAAACTACCATAGTATCATCTCCGGACATCACATGGATTTATCACAAAAAAATGTAATATGGTTTATTAATCATGTTCAAACTTTTATGCATATTCAATCTGATACATGTTATGGAGCTGCTACTTCACATTTGTGCCAGAAAATTATAGACTTGATTGTTCATTTCTTGCCCCCAAAATTGCTCTTACAATCTTTCTCCATGTTGCCTACACTATATCATTATATCTAAATCTTAAAACAGTTGATTTTACTAAACCAAATTAGCTGTGCTTCATCACCACATACTTGAACCAAGATTTAGCCAGAATCAATACCAAGTCATAATACGATAAAATGATCATATGTAGTTGTCATGGATTTAATGTTCTCCAAATTAATGGCTTTAATGTTTTAAAAACAATGTGTGCCGCTTTTAAAGACTCAAAATATTTTACAAGGATGCACACGAGGCTAACTTTTTGTTATATTAACTAAAACCGAAGATTTATTAAGAAGTGAGATGCTTCTTTCCACTAACGCAAACTGCAAGGAAGTTAATCTGATTTGATTTGTCTTGTACTCATTCTAAAAAAAAAAAACAAAAAAAAAAAAACAGGTGCCTATTGTACAAATATATCAACTTGCCTTGCTCTTTGTTCAAGCTCCCACAATAATTCACCAGTACTCATGTTGAATGCCCCAGGATAGCATATTAAGTGAGCACCTGTGGACTTGCATAGTACACTAAGAAACCAGAACAGTACCAGGCTATCCAGCAATAAACTGGTGGAGATAATGAATACCTCTTATTCGATACAACATCGCAAGTTCGGGAAAGCGTATATCATGACAAATTCCAATTCCAATACGACCCACATCTACATTTAGATTCACACAATCAGTTTTATGTTTCAATGTGTTTATTTAAAAGAAATGAAGGTATAAAGTGCAACATGGCGAATTCTGAAAGAAAAGGAAAGGAAAATTGAAAAGTCAAGCACAATAAGGTTTTTCGAAGAGATTGGAGAAAATGATCAAATGTCTTATCATTACAGTCAATAGTTGACAAGATTCTAATGGAAAAACAAGAAAGAAAAATCCATATAATTTTATATGGTTGTGGCTAGAACAACAAAATGATATTCAGATTTCAATCTACCAATCTTCCCGCATGTTTTACATTGTTCAGTAATCCATGTATGGTTACTTAAATACAATCAAGAAGGAGAATTTAGGAGCCCCTAGGGAATTCTGGTTAAAAGGAAGAAATCGTTAAACCAGCATTATGAGAGGAATTCATCACACCATATAAACAATTTTATACGGAGTAGTATATACTTAATAAAATCATATTTCAAGATCTGTGGCGGAATCTTCCAATTTCTGACAGGTTAGGCAACAAAATTGATTTAAAACTTGTTAAAACTGAACTAACTAAATGGATAATATCAGTATAAAATTGCAGAAGCCCTATACATCAACCAAGGCAGTAGGCACCTAGAAGAAAAACACCTATTTAATCATATTACTAAAATACAGTGCTAAAATCCTAAAACAATACCAATACCTCGTACTAAAAGACTTTTTGCTTCAGTCAGTAGTGCTAAAGCAAGAGATGAAGTGACTTTCCGAGAGCCAACTAGTCTCGCTTTAAAAATAGCATTAAGACATAACCTACGTTAATATCCATGATTAGACTTGAACAACTTGTTATAAAACACTACGAGACAATGCCACTGACTTGATGCATACCTGTATCAACAATGGTAGATTTATCCCCTGCTGTGAAGGTGTCTGATTCCTTAAACAAAATATCTCCCGGAATGTCAACACAAACAAATGTGTCTGCAAAGCAAAAAAATCTTCTGTCAAAATTCCATTTGTGTTTCCTTCAAACTCATAGTTCTCCATTTTAATTCTTTTCTTAGTTATGCTTACTTTCCTATGCTTAGCCTTTAACTGCCCGTCAGGTCCAAACACACAACAAGTGTTATACAACCGACCGTCATTCCTTTCAGGGATAGACCCTCCTACTATTGTGATCCCTTGACATGAAGCAATTTCTGATAATAGAGAAAATGAAGGGGATGCATCTTTATCATCAAAATTCTCAGCATATTTTGCAAAGTAATCGTTCGAATAAGGGCAATTCCACATTTCCTATAACATATAAGTAAAAACCAACACCAATTATGAATCTAAGGACTCCAAAAAAAACATTAATTTCACAATGAATCTACAACAATATGAGTTAGGGTTTAGTTACATTTTCATAAAATACAAAATACCACAAGCTAGAGCAATATGATCTGAGTGAGAAAGAAGTGAGCTCACTGGTAAAACAACAAGGCTTGCACCTTGCTTGGAAGCAAGTTCAATTGATTTCTGGGCATGGGCCAGATTAGTGTCCTTGTCTGAAGTAACTGATAACTGACAAAGCCCAATCTTAAACTTCCCTGAAACAAACCAAATTCACAATCACCTTGTCCCACCATTGTCTACAAATTATAATGTTTTCAGTTGCAAACATGGTTAAATATATTCTATCCAAAAACTAATTATCAGCTTGGGAACAAAAGAGAACTTGAATATTTGATTGAGAATTATCAATATAAACACATATGCATATATATATATATATATATATAGGCCAACTCAAAAGCAGCAAACCTCTGTAATTTTGGGCATTTCCAAGGGACCAGAGACTGAAAACTTGGTGTTGCCCATGCTGCTGCCTGATACTGACAGAGCTGCTATCATCTTTCAGTGTTATTGGGCTGTTGCTTAGATTGACTGGGGTTGTCTAAAGTCAAGCTTGTGCTCTGATGGTGCACATCTTCCACGTGTACGGTGATGGAAATTCACGTTCACAATCTTGGGATAAAAATATAAAAGCAAAAAACAAAAAACAAAAAACAAATGTTTGGTAACTGAAAATAAAAAATTGTACCAAAAAAAAAAAAAAAAAAAAAAAAAAAAAAAAAAAACCCTGCTTGGTTTAATTTTTTAAATTATTTTCTGAAAACTCAGTTATAAAAATGTTTGTTTTCAGCAACTGTCTTTTATTATTCTTTTAAAACTGTTTTGTATTATCTGAATTTTTGAAAATTATTTTTAGGGTTACAAATTTAATTTCAATTGATAGGTTCAGCACTAATTATAGTATTTAAAAAATAATATAAAAAAAACCATTTGATTGCATCTTCTTAGATTTTGGGACTTCTTTGGGTCATTGAATTATTTTGGGTTCTTTTCTAGTGTCTTAGCCCGTGATGGATATTATTTTGTGCACCTAGACTTGCCACTTAAAAATTTGTGTTTTTTTTCTTTGTTTTTTTCTTAAATTTAATTTCCAAAGAATGTAATTTTATCATTAAAAATACCTTAAGAATAATAAATAAAACATTAAATAAAATGTCAAAATTACACCACTTCTGATTATATTTTTCAAAATCAGAAGTAGGGCTGCAAATGAACCGAGCTGTTCATGAACAGTTCGGGTTCGGCTCGTTAAAAGCTCGGCTCAGGCTCGTTCATTTAGTAAACGAGCTGAGCTCGAGCCTGATTTTCAAGCTCGTTTAGTAAACGAGCCGAGCTTGAGCAACCTTGAGCTCGGCTCGTTAGGCTCGTGAGCAAGCTCGTTAAGAAAGCCCATTTTTATTACAATTTTATATTTAAAAGGTTTGGTCCATATGAATATAAGTTTGGCCCAATTCACATAATGGCCCAAAGAATTATAAGACTTTAGCCCACATTCAAATAAAACTACATCTCAACCATTAAATACTTGTTCATCTTCTCAGCCGTTGATCATCTTTAAGTTAAAAGATAAGTATAACTGTATAACCCTAAAATAAGAAGTCTCCAGCGGCAGCGACAAGGGATCTTCAGATAATCCCATAAACAACGGCAACACCATTCTCTCTCCTTCAAACGGATCTTGATGTCTCTCTCAAACGCACGTTTAAGTTCAGGCAGTGGAATATATCTTTAGATCGAGTCCCTAAAATCTTGTAAGGTGTGATTTTGATCTTGAAAATTTGTTTGTATTTCTTCTTCTTCTTCGTTTCTGTTGGAGGTGGAGATCGGATTTCATGGAAGAGACCGATCAGATTTCATGAAAGATATGTGTTTGTTTCTTGTATTGTGATGATAGGGTATGTAACCAAGCCCGGGCCCAGCCAAGCCCGAGCTCGAGCTCGACTAGCCCAAGCTCACCCAAACACGAGCTGAGCCTGAGCACTTCCTTAGAGATGACGAGCCGAGCCTGAACAACCCAAAGCTCGGCTCGGCTCGGTTCATTTGTAGCCCTAATCAGAAGGCTCTCAAACCATAGCGTACGAAATCAAAGACAAAACTCATCTAAATGTGAGTAGTGATGCTACTAAATGTCCTACAAAATCACAAAATCAGCAACATGCAATCACATGCCACTGCTCAAAAACCTCAGGTGAAAATCACTTCCAGTGAAATAGTGTGCCATTTCCTCCATTTTGAAATGAGTGTTCCAAAAAATGGCCACTTTACCCATGTTTGGTATGTATAGTAATAAGCTTTACATACTAGATTACAACATCATAGCAATAAGCTTCTAAAATAATTACAATTACCAATAGTAATCAACTAGAATGTAGAATTATCATCACAATTGTATAGTAATTCAAATTAATAAGAGTTCTGTACAACATTAATAATCCTACTCAAGATACATACACAACATACATGCTTAAATCAATAAAGCCTAAGTCAATCATAAGGATTTCCTATAATATGCAATACTACAATTCTAAAAGCATGTACACAATATATATTAAACCCCAAAGGATTATAAAACACTTAAAATATAAACATACTACCACCCTTACCTCAATAGAGAATTGAATCTCTATAATCCAAAGCAACTAAGCACAAAATGGATAAAAATTCTAGGGTTATGAAGAGGAGAGTGAGACGAAAATTTTGTCTCCCAAGGTTTATAGTCTAAAGTGAATGGAAGGAGGCCAAAAATGAAGTCAAAGCTCTAAACCAAGCTTTTGCTTCAATGGTGGCTAGGTTAGGGTTTTGAGAGCAAGTGAAATGAAAAAGATGAAGTGAAGAATGGTGAGTGGAGGATCTAGTATTCATCTACTCACTATGTGTACTTACACTACCTCTCACACACACATAATGCAAGATTAATTTGTGAGCCTACACTTGTCACAAATCCAAGGCTCCTTCGTAGGCTTAATCTCAAGCCTACACTTGTCAACCATCTAGACCAACAAGTGAACCAATCCTAGGCCAAAAAGTGGGTGAATCTCCACCCTCCAAATGTCAAGAGATCATGCTTCCAAGTCACTCCACCCCAATGCCAACAAGTGGCACCATGAGAATGTGACACTTGTCACATTTTCCAAAAATTGCAAAAAGGTCATTTTCTAAAATATCTTTCAAATTAAATTACAAAATGGTCCCAAGATGAAAAATAATTATTTTACATAATTACACTAGAACCCCAAAAATCAAGAATATTTACAAGAAAGTATGCATCCATACCCTTTACGAAAAAGTAAGCAACTAGAATGTATTTTCTACAAAAGTAAAAATACAATTGTCATGGAAATCAATATCGTGGATGCATGCAAAGCCGGAATAAAATCCGAGCACAAAAAATGAGGTTATGTAAGGAAAAATGATAAACGGGAAAAAGACGAAAAAAGAAAATCACCGAAAAAAAGAATGGAAGGAAAATGACCGGGTTATTACATAGAAAGTTTTGATTATTCTAAAAACAGATCTTGTGTTTTTCTAACTTACTTTATTTTAGCAATTAATAAATTAATATCATGCATTCTAAAATAAAGCAAAGTAAAGTTAGAGATGACACTAGGATTTTAGCGAGGAAACCCCAGTTGATAAAATACGTCAACTGTTTGCGTGGGAAAAACCTCGTGGATTGTGCAGTCCAAAGTAAACCGATCCACTATGCTTGAAACAAAGTACACTAAACTTTGACTCTGGCTCACACCCTATCGTTTTACCAAATACCAACTGCTGATAATCCTCTGGCTTTGCGACTCCCCGTCCAACAGAAACTTGACCTCAGGTTTGTGCTTGATTTTTGTATAAGAGTAGTAGGTAGATTAGACAACATTCCTCGAATGCTCCAACCTTTTCAAAGTGTGATCGCTTTTACTCCTATTCTTCAATCGTCTAAATTCGATGTAGAAGTAGATTTGCTTTTATCTGATCAATGTAGATGCAACTGTATGATCATGATCAGGATTCGAACAACACAACTCTAAACTCACTAAATGTTTATGTGTATATGTTCTAGAAAGACAAACAGGAAATTCTCTAAGAATTTCTGAGACAAAAATCTTCCTAAGACTTTTTAAGAATAATAAACTGATAATGCAAAAGCCGTCTTTAAACCTATGTGTATGACAAGGTTTATATAGAGTTTAGAATGTCCTAGCCCTTCTTAAAATATGGAAAAATTCGTGCATAGGACTTGGTACAATTCTAGACTAACTAGAAAAGAAATCAAGAAAAGGAAACTAAAAACTGTATTGTGAACAAGACTCTTTGAACTGGTTCAAGATTGGCAGAAGGAATTTTGAAGCCAATCTTGAGCCCTTGAATCGGTTTAGAGGGGCTGAACCAGTTCAAGTTGTGTAGAACTTGAATTTGGTTCTTTTCAGCCTAAAAAACATTCTACGGGAACTTCTGAAAAATATGAAAAGTGTAGAATGTGTCCTAACCTGTTTAGAATCCTTCCTAATGTGTTGTTCTTACCCTTTTCTTCAAAAAATCTTCAATCATGGTAAGTTTGAACAACTTCCCAGTTCTGTAGTCACTGTCGAACTTGATAACTTGCAGACCAAGAAACTTGAATTACAACTCGACTTGGACTTGTTTTGTTTATGATAATTGCCAAAAATAAAATAATTTCTCATATTCTATTTTAAAAAAACTGTATAAAAAACTCTGCTTAGTTTACTTTTCTGAAAACTGTTTTATGAAACTTAGTTAGAAAAAGGAAGTAAAAATGAGAACTTTTAAATGAAAAATATTTTTTGGTTTGCAACTCTGAAAACAATTATAAAAAATTCAGAGATCAGAAAACTGTTTTAAGATAACTATAAATGAAAGTTCTCTAAAATAGTTTTTAGAGTTACAATTGTTCTTTTTGCTTCTATTAATGATGTATATAACATGTAATTTTTTTCTATTATACTTATTTTAAAATTTATTATTATAATTTATGAAGTTAACGGGTGTAATTTTCTTGCGTCACTTGTAAAATGCAAAGACCTATAATTGTATTCAATGAAAATATTACTAATTAATATTTTAGCTCTCCCTCTATGAAAGAAAGAAAATAAATCTGAAGAATGGAAAATAGAAAGCTAATTTAAGCTAGAAAAATAGCTTAAACACCCATAACTCAATTCCAAAGAAAGGGAGAGGTAAAAGGTTGTTGTAGCAAACTGATTAAATTGAAAATACGTCAAAGGCTGTTGGATACAACTTGGAATAACCCTTTTATAATCCCCCACATATGCCTTAGCAAAGATTTAATCCTAACCCTTCTTATAAAAAAAAATGTTAAAATTGACAAGACAATGTGAGTTGTACGCAGTGGAATGTACTTAGAAAGTTTTGATTATTTTAAAAACAGATCTTGTGTTTTTCTAACTTACTTTATTTTAGCAATTAATAAATTAATATAATGCAGTCTAAAATAAATCAAAGTAAAGTTAGAGATAACACCAGGATTTTAGCGAGGAAACCCCAGTTGATAAA